ATCAAAGTTACAAGGTTCTACCCGGATGTCTTCTTCCATGAGTTTTACAGTTTTAGTACTGTTGTTAAGTCCTTCATGAATTTTGAGTTAATTGTGGAAGATAATGCAAAATAAAATCCAGAAATCATCCTGTATATTTATGGAAAATTGATTTCTCACAAGGTCTCGGGGACATTAAATAGGGAAATAGCCCTTCAACAAACAATGGTCGAAAACTGAACTCCCACCCGGGAGGAGGGTGAAGGGGGCCTCTGACCCCCGTTTGTGGCTCTGAACCTCTGTCTGATGCAAGTGCCTCCAGCTCTTGGGAATGAGAATCCTTAACTTTGTGTTGTTCTAAAAATTATTTGACTGTTCTTGGCCCCTTCTCCAAACAATCCCAGGATGAGTTGTTAATCTGTTGTTTAAAACATCAGCTACAAGTTTCATAGGGGTCACACTGACTCTAGATCAGTTTCTGATTTTTAACAATGTTACCTCTCCTAATCATGAGTAATAGTTGTCTTTCCTTTTGTTTAGTTCCTCTTATATTTCTACCAACCTTTTCCTTTCTACACTTCTTAATGAAGAAGACCTGCATTTTGTTAATTTTTATCCTAGTTATTTTTTCTTTTTGGTGCTATTTTAAACAAATTTGTTTTCTTAATTTCATGTTTCACCTGTTCACTATTACGTGCAGAAATGACACTATTTTATATTAATTTTATATTTTGTACCTTAACTTATTATTAGATATTGTCATTTTTACATATTCCTTAATTTTTTAATATACAAGATCATGCCATCTGCAAAAAGAGATTCTCTTATTATTTTTCCTTTTTCAATATGGATGACTTCTATTTCTTTCTTTTTTCTGCCCAGACCACCCAGTACAATATTTAATAAAATCAGTGAGAGTGAAAGTTCCTGATTTAAGGCAAAACTTTTTTCCTTAAGCATGATCTTCATTAAGCATGATCTCTGTTGCCTCTCTCCTCCTAACCCCCTCTCCCCACCCCCCATCTATTGATAGAAATTCTGAACATATTGAGAAAGCTTTTCCCTAGTCCTGTGGCTAAGTATTATAGTAGAAGGGAGTAGAACTCTGTCATTCTGCCCCATTCTCTGTGTGATCATGATGGGGCATTCTCCCTTTATTCAATTAATATGGTGCATTTTGCTGATTAATTCTGGTAAGTTGAGCCAACCTTGCATTCCTGTGTTAAATGTCAGTCATGGTGTATCACATTTTATATATTCTTCTGGATGCAGTTTGATGGTATTTTGTTGAAAATCATTGCATCTGTACTTATAAAAATATTGGTCTTTAATTTTCTTTTATTATGACATCTCATTGTCTTAGCATCAGAGTTAATACTGATCTCAAAACTAGAAGGGAAGTGTTTCCTCTTTACCTTAGTTTTGTAATAGCTTGTCAACATTTTGCAGAAATAACTTGCAAAGCATCTGGGTCTGGATTTTCTAAGAGGGTGTTTTTGTCTTATTTTGGTTACTGATTCAATTTTTTTTTTTTGGAGAGAGAGAGAGAGAATCTTTTTTGTAGATGGACACAACACAATGCCTTTATTTTTATGTGGTGCTTAGAATCGAACCTGGGTCCCAACTATGCTAGGTGAGCGCTCTACTACTGAGCCACAATTCCAGCCCCCAATTTTTTTACTTTTATAAAAACTGAGTCTTTTTCCTGTTTCCCTTGATTAATCTTGTTTGCCAGTTCTGTTCATCTTTTCAAGTACCGTCTTGATTTTTTTGGTATGTATGTTTCCTGCTATTTATTTCATTTGTCTAGTTTTCAAAGGGGAGTATTAAGGTATTTATTAGAAATTTCTCTTCAGTTTTAATACAGGTATTTATCTCTATAATTTTCCTACTCAGTTCTGTGTTAGCTATATTCCAGAAGCATTTTATATTGTTTCTTTTTCAATAATCTTAGAGTATATTCTAAAAAAATCTTATATTCTAATATTATATGTATCTTTTTTCCTCTGAACCATACACTGTTGAGGTGTGTGCTATTTAAATTCTACATATTTGAAATATTTACCCAAACTTCCTTTTGTTATGGATTTCTAATTTTATTCCAATCAAAGAATAATACTTTGCTTTAACAGGCTGGTTTATGGATCGATCAGCATGTGATCTATTGAGGAGAGTAGAATGTCCGTTCGTACTTACTGGTCAGGTCTGGTTACAGTGCTGCTCAAGTTATCTTTTCCTCTCCTATTGTCTCCCTAGTTGTTATATCCATCCTTGAAAAGGGGGCATTGAGTCTGCCACTGTTTTCTGAATGTTGCTTCGTCTTTCAATCCTGCCATATCTTTCCTCTGTGTTTTGGGACCTCGTGGTAGGGCAGACGTGTTCTCCTGATGGAAAATGTCTTAGTATCCACTAACAATTTTTGTTAACCTCATTTTGCCTGTGGATAGCATGGCCTGTCCAGTTCCCTCTGGATCTCACGTTCATGGCTTATAGTGTTGTCACCTTTAATTTTAGTTTCTTCAAGCCTTTGATATGAAGTATACTCATGAGTGCTGCATAGAAGTGTGTGCAGCAGCCTCCTCTCATTCCCGGAAGGTGTGAGCCAGAAGCCTGACACTGTGGACGTACCTAGCCCCATGTATACCATGGACTTTCCTATATATACACTACCACAGCAAAGTTTAGTTTATAAATTAAGACACCAAGAGATGAAAACATCTAATACAAATAAAGCAATTGAAACAACTGTAATGAAAGCTATGTGCACCTGGCCTCCCTCTCTCTGTGTCTCTCAAGACATTGGAGTGCATTGTACTCCCTCTTCTTCTGGTGATGTCTAAGAGACAAAGTCAAATGACATGAACAAACAGGCATTTATCACTCACTATAGCCACAGCTTTGGCAATCTGAGGTGTGACAGCCAACCCAGCGCAACTGTTACCCTTTGTGCTCATCATAGATATTGGAAACCTCAGTGTGTGTGTGTGTGTGTGTGTGTGTGTGTGTGTATTTTTTAATTAGTAAACTTTCACTTAAAAGCATATTTTTTTTCTTTTCTAAGTAGTAAACTTTCACTTAAAAAAGCATGTTATGGCTTCTGTTGGGCATATCTGAATTCCAGCATCACCATTCTTGTGGTTTGGAGCCATTATTAAGGAAAATAAGGCCACTTGAGCACCAGAAGTCTGATGTCTGAGATGACTACTAAATGACTAATGGAGGGTAGCATATACAGTGTGGATACACTGGAGAAAGTGATGATTCAAAGGCAGGTACAGCAGTGGAAGATTTTAGGATATTACTCATAATACTAAGCACTTTAAAACATGCATTCTCTATTTCTGGAATTTTCCATTTAACATTTTTGGATTGTGGTTGACTGCAGGTAACTGAACCCATGGAAAATAAAGTTTTAAATAAGCGGACACTTCTATAAATAAATCAATTTTTAATCTAATATATTCTTCCATTCTTTATTTTTTATTGGAGTGTTTAATCCATTAGTACTAAAATGTAATCATTGACAAAGTAAGACCTATGCCTGCTGTTTTAATATTTGACATTTTAAAATCTCCTTTGCCCCTCTATCCTGACTTTGTGTGTGTGTGTGTGTGTGTGTGTGTGTGTGTGAAATAGATATTTTTATGGAACATTCTAAATTTCCTGTTGTTTTTTTCTTTCTACTATATATTTTGAAATGTTTTCTTGGTGATTTTTCTGGAAGTTACAATTGACATATATTCCACATGGTATTTACTTAAGTTTCATTGTATACAAAATTTTTCTTCCATAAAGTTTCATTTTCCACCACTTCCTATGACCTATCATATTCATACAAATGACACTTTTATACACGATAAGCCCATCAACATGATTTTATGATTTTTGTGTTAGCAGTTTCTTTTCAATTACGTTGAAAGAGCAGAAAACATATTTGGACAATTCTGGTTTGCCTAGGTGTTTCCTCTGCAGACACTCTTTCCATATATGAATTTCTCTCAGGAATTGTTCCCACCTGCAACCCTGCATGTTGGGTGTCCTCTCTCCAGACCCCTACCCACACCTCTTCACACAATGGCCGGAGCAGTGTGTTGAGAACACAGTCTTACCATTCCACACTCTTGATTAATCACCTGCTACCACAGCTGGTTTCTCTGTGCAATTAGAATAAAGTGCAAACACCTCATCCTGGTCTGCAGGATGCTTTGCCGCCTCCCACCCTTCTCCAGCCTGCACGCAGCCCCGCCAGGGAATCTTCGCCCTGTCTTTCAACACCCACACTCCATTCTGGGTACAGACGTGTGCATTTGCAGCTCTGTGGTTTAGACAGTGTTCCAGACAGTCACGTGACGACTCTCTTACTTTTCTCTCTCAGAGAGATCTTGTGGAGACTCCCGAGAGAGCAGCCTCTGCCTTCATCTTTAACTCTTCATTGTCTCACCTTGATGTAGATTTTCTATGTCTTTAGTATCAGAATTTGTCCTCACGAGTTGGCTTTTCTTTACACAGTGGGATACACAGGAGGTTTTGCTATCTTCTTCACTGTGTCCCAATTACCTAACAGCACACGTCAAACCCATAGCAGGTGCTTAATGAATGCTTGTAGAATAAATGGTGGGATCATTGAAAGGTAATTGAGATAATGTGAGAAGCAAGAACTGGCTTTCTTTCTGTATCTTGTACATTTCCTCTAGCATTTCCATGTTGAATTGCTATTTCTTGGGTAACTAGTTTTCCAAATTTAACTTATATTGCATTAAGGAATATGGAGAGAAAATGTACTATCTTTACGCTTAGTAAGGAGATAAAAAAGAGAACTCTGAGCAGAGAGGATTCAGCATAGCTGCCAAGGAGTCATGGAGAGCAACAATATGGGAATTAGGTACTGGAGTGGGAGGGGTGGAGGTCCACACAGCCCGCACCACCTTTCTCAGAAAGCCAAGGTGTTAGTGCTGCAAGATTGAGTCCTGTATTTTATCTGTAAGTCACCTTACATATACCTCGTTTGTTTTCTTGGGAAGGCGGGCCTGGTCCATAAAATATCCAGGGACATGCCTATGATGTGGCTGGGAGAGCAATCAAATCTCAAGAGCAAATGTGGAGCAGGACGGAAGCTCCAGCCCGAGTGGAGCTTTGCAGAAACAGACCATGGGCTCAGTGCTGTCGGACTGTTACCCAAGGTGTAAGTATATACGGAATTAATAAGGGGGTCACAGTCCCGATGCCAGGAACGGCTCGTGGCTCCGTGCGGAGGCCATTTCTATGTGGAGTATCTGCAGCGAGATCCTTGAGGGGCGGAGGAACCCATTACAGACTTCTAACTGGATTCTTCTTCCTCCGTCTTCGTACTTCCTGTGCGGCCCAAGGCCAGCTGTCTGGCATGCACAAGGATACGCTGCTGCTCTTCAACCCCTAAGAAAGACACCTGCTTTCAGGAACATGCTCTGAGTGTGGCCCTGGCACTACTCTGGCCAAGGACCAGGGTGTCCTGGTGGAAAAACAGAGGCTGGAGCCAACCAGTGGGCTGTGTCCTGGCTCAGGTCATGAGGTCAGACCTCTTCACTGAGAAATCCAGAGTGCCCCATACCTACGTCGCCGTTTGCTGTGAGCATTGAATGAGTTTAATAATTGGGAAAGACCTAAAGGAGTGTCTGGTGTACACAGTCGGTGTCCGAGACATGGAATTGTTTTTGTGGCTGTGAACTGTATGTGGACAGTTGCCCTGCTCCTTTCTCCAAGGGCCTGCAGGGTGCCTGGTAGGCACATCTCACAAACAACTGAGGCTGTTTAGTGGCAGTAAGGGAAGTGGGTCTTCAGAGGGCAGAAGGCAGATTTGGAGCTGCCAGTCAGGGGCGATTCATGACAGTGACCAGGTGACTGCTCCTAGCGGTGGTGCAGGCGGACAGAGCACCCTCTGACTGCCCCCACACTCGCCTTCCTGCCCCATGGCCACCCACCGAGCAGAAGGCTTGGGTTCCTAGCAGGGCAGTCTCAGGATGGAGGCCGTCAGGCAGAGGTCGTGTGGCCGGTGGAGGGAGGACCCTGGTGGCAGGTCCACAGCCAGGTGCCAGGCCTTTTTGTTCAAGGCCTCCCACTGGGGACCAGCGAGAAGGCCCTGCAGGGCCAGGCTCAGCACTGGGCGGGCTTCCCTCCCCGTCTCTCTTCCCTGTACTGAGGGACACTCGTGCTGCTCCTCCTTGGGTACCACAAGACGCCTTTGCTCCTGCTCTTCTTTGCATCTCCTCTGGCTGCACCAGGTGCCATCGGACACAGTCCCTTGACCCAACTCTATAATCTGTGTCACTTCAGGGCCTCTGACGTGGCTTCGCTTTCTTCCAAGACTCACTGCCACCAGTCATTGAGCAGAGGGCTGTACGTTGCGCAACACGTCAACATCAGGAACAAAACAGCTTCCGAGTCAGAGTCGAGAGCAGCCCGCTTGGTCTTGGGACCAACCACAGGTACTAACCAAGAGGCATTTGTCAGGAGACCACACTGAGGCAGGAGCAGGGAAGAAAGGAGGAGGCTTGTGGAGGGGACAGCCGGCGGTGTGACGACCACTGTCCAGGGCAGAGGTTCCCTGTGGACGTGGGACAGGTGAGGAGCTTGGCCTCTGGAAACCACCTGGCAGGCGCTCTCACCGTGTGTCCATCGGAGCATCACCGTAGACTTAGACACGACAAGGAAGAGTGTTCTGCAGTCTCCTTCCTCCCTGTGAAATGAAAGATCACGGACTTTCTTCCATTGTGGAGAAGATGAAAGGAAATGTCTGAAAAATATTCAGCATGATGCCTAACACTAAGTGATTCTGCAATAGATGTCCGCGGTGATCGTTTTATTGTGCGCTTTTACAAGCAGGGTGTCTAGGAAGATGGCGGACCAGTCATAGGTCATGTGATGTCTGAATCTCCAGACGACTCCTCCTCCCTAGTATCCACCCTCATAAGACGCCCATTTCTCTACCTACGCAGTTCAGCCTTCAGACCCCCCACCCACACGAAAGTGAACATTTCAGTCTGTCTGACACAGATTTCCCACTAAAAATCAGCATACTGATATTGTGGCTCAGCCATTAAGAGTTGGGTTGATGTCGTCTAATTCCACGTCCATTCTGGGTAGAAAGACAAGACTGGTTTTCTGGACCAAGTTCCTTGAGGGTGACGGGATTCATCAAGGTGACATCAGACACCAGAGGGGCCTCTTGTGGTCAGCCAGTGGCATCCGTTTCCAAGTCCATCATTAAACACTCTGTAGTAGAACACCGTGCCCACAAGGGTAAGTGGGAAGGTGTCCTTGGAACCTGGTTATTTTGCTATCACTTGATTACAGGCATCTTTGTCCCTTTTTCCTTCTGACAAAACACTGACAAAATTATCCATCTGAGGGCTATGCACCATATCTGAACTCTAGTGCCAGGTAGGAACCAAGACCAATGGGTGGGTAAGTGTGCTGCTTATTAGGGACTGAATTGTGTCCCCCAAAAAGATGTGTGGACGGTCTAACCCTATATCTTAGAAGGTGACATTATTTGGAAGTAGTGACCATGGAGTAATGATGAGGGCGTAATGGAGGAGCAGGCCTTCGTCCAACACGACTGGTATCCTTTCAGGAAGAGACAACGCCCCAGGGGAATTCAGGTGTGCAGAGGGAAGGCAGCCATGGGCAACAGGTGGCCATGAGAGTGATGTGGCCGTCGGCCAGGGAACAGGGAAGACCGGCCCCCAGGGTGAGGAGCACCTCCCGGACGGCCTAGAGGAAGCCCAGCCCTGCCCACACCTGGACTTTGAAGGTCTAATTGCCAGAACTGTGAGACAACGGATTTCTGCTGCTCCACTTCACCCTGTTTGTGGTCCTGGGGAAAACACACAACCACACCCACTTCCAGCAGCTGAGGCGACCTTCGGTTCACAGTGGGTGTGTATTTTCTTAAAGGATCTTCCTGTGCTGAACCTGTGCTTACATGAGGTTAGAACAAGACGGGGCATCACCTTAGACATTAAATACAACAAGGAAGAGTGTACTGTGGGACGCTGGAGAATCGGGTTCTAGGGGGAAGTGCCTATTTCTACTGTAGTGTACGAGTTCAGATTAGCCAACTTCATTTTCCTGCCGCATGAGGGCCCAAGGCATGATTTAGTTAATCAATTTCTTGCAAATGGATGGCTTAAAAGAGAATGGCTCTAGCAAGATATCCGGTAGCATTTGTAACTCTCATTGATTCTGCCCTGGTGAGCACGTGTAGTCCTGCATCAAGGAAACCAAGAACATGCTGAAGACGCATCATTTTATAATGTTGGAAAGTGGATTTATAGAGATTCCTGTAGACTTCCAATGCCCGCCCCATTTTTAACAGCCCTGGTGTTCTTCCAAGGTCTTTGTCATGCTGGGGAACTCGATCCATAAAACAATGCGGAATTTATCATGTAAGTTGACCCAGTGTTAATAAAGTGCGGTTATGTTGATTGTGGTCTGATCAAATACTGCATCTTGTAGGACTAGAAACTTTTATTCAGACATTCCCGTTTAGATGGATAGGTTATTAGCCAAGGACTGATCGGGCTGATCCCACAAAAGCATTTATAGTGAGCGCTCTGCAGTTATAAAGTAAAGGTGCCGTAAATTTTGTGCCCAGTAGCTCTTAAGCAGGCGATCCCGCTCCTCTTGGATGACGGTGCGTTTCCACTGCCCCAGCCACCCGTTACCACCCCTTTCCCGTCTGTGTACAGCCCGGTGGCAGCAAGCGAAGCCCAAGGCTGCTGGCAGAGCTGACGATTTTTTAAAAACATGCTTACCACTGCTTTAGGGTTAGGTAAACTGCAAGGAGCCAGAGGTGGGTCTTCCCAGCTGGAGAGCTGGTGTATTTGCCCAGTGAATGGTTTTGAAATCAGTCTCCCTTTGTGGAGGCACGCTGTTCCACCCTCCACGAAACCTCCAGCAAAAGAAGGAAACGTGTCAAGTGGCAGGAGGCAAACCGCATCCCGGTGTCCATGTTCTGTTTGTTTGTATGTTTAGTTTTTTGTTGGGATGGAGATTAGCCAAACCTGGGCTTCAGGACCCTCTGTCTGTCCTCTCAGCGGCTCCCAGGAGACAGCACAGCACAGTGGCTGGGACCCTGGACAGAAGCTGTGAGCCTGCTGAGACTCCTGCGCTCATTTCCTTCTTATCTGATGATGGCGTTGGGGGGGGGGCAGGTTGGAGGAGGCCAGGTGAGTAGGGAAGGCTGTGAGAGGGAGGGCTAAGGTGCCTTCCAGAGGCACACGGAGGTCTTGACCAGGAGCCACCTTTGACTAAAACACACAGCGTCATGGCCAATACCCTCCTTCTGACCTTGGACTTCTTGGCAGAAGACAATGTAAGCTAAGCATCGGATTGATGTATGAGACCAAACTAAATAACTACCCCAGGAGGTTCAGGGGACTCCCCCGGGCTGTGCTGGAAGGCCCAGAAGCTGGGGAACCACACACTGCTGCAATCTGGAGGGGGGTGCCCTACAGGTGGCCAAGGGAACAAAAGCACACGGCTAGCAAATCAGAGGGAAGCACCATCCTGAACCCCGACTCCTGAATTCCCACTTAGCAGGCCCCACGCCAGCTCCCCAGCTAGGCCCTGACCTGGAGTCCGGGGTTGATCTGTGGTGACGTCCTGTCTTTGTCCTCCACCCACTGACAAGAGAGACCAGATTCTGGGATTCCTCCGTTACAGCAGCTCTGCAATTGTCTTTAACTTATGGACCCTGAAGAGGAGGGAAAGTGCTAAGATGGTGCTGTTTGAGCTCAGCATCCAAATCAAGGAAGTCTAAGTGAGGTACGGGATTCCATCTGGAGCCAAGAAATGGCACATGGGCATTTATTAATCCTACTACCAAGTGGTCTGCATGTCCTCAGTGCGCTGGACCCTGAGATGCAGAGTCCATGTTTCGTCCCAGATGCAGATGGAGCGGCCCTAGGAGGGGCAGGTCTGGTGAATGGACATGGACATCAGGGAACAGAGCCCTGCTGAGGGCTGGCTGGGGCTGCGGGAAGCGTCTTGCTCTGCAAAGGCCACGCTGCGGCAGCCTGCTCTTGCACCCACCCAGAGAGACTCTAAAGAGGACTACCCAGACCGCTTTCTCACGCTCTGGTGATGGCGTTTGTGCAGGCTACCAACATGTCACGAAGCTTACAGAGAAGCACCTGGTAGTTGGCACCCACACCTGGCCAAGGCACATTGGGATGGAACTGCCCACTTGTCCCCGGTGGCCACAGCCACGCAGCCCACAACAGCCTCAGCACTGTGTAGAGAGGGCCTTGTGACCATCCTGGGTCCACTTGCTAAAGTGGACCCTGAACGCTCTTCAGGTTCCAGTTTCTCTAACGTTCTTCATCGTCACCTTTCTGGTATCCTTTGCCCCTAAGGACACTGTTTCACCCCCAGCCCAGGTCACCCATCTGCAGAAGTTTTGTTCCTCTTCCCTTCAGGAGGGAAGTTCAGTTCTCCTCCCCTTGCGGGAGGGATATATTTGCTTCTAACAGAGAGAGGACGAGGTGATGGCATGTGCTCTGGAGCCCAGGTCATGGGGCCTCGGCAGCTCCCTGATAGTCCTACCCTCTTCTGTCACCTGGTTCCAAGAAGCCTGTGGCCCTGGGACGGCTCAGTGCGGAGTAACTGTGGCCCCAGCCTCCAGCCGCGTGTATGAGCATCTTGGAAGCAGAAGCTCTGCCTTCGCGGGGTGCAGCCCAGCCGGCTGCCCACAGGGACCTCAAGTGATGAGGCCCAGAGCGCCCGGTTCAGTCCCTGCCTGATCCCTGCACTGTGTATTGTCTGAATCTGCTGGTGTGCAGCTACAGGGCGCGGACAGCAGTGCACCCTGGCCTGTCCTCTCGCGGGCTCCACTCCTGTCCAACAGCACTGCTCCTTCCTGTGTCCTCAGTGGATCCCACCTGCCCTTGAGCCAGTCCACCACGGGGTGGGCCCTGTCCCCAGAGCCCAGTGTTCCCAATGACATCAAAGCCACGTCTCCAAAACACAGGGTGGCTCTTCCTGCCTCTGCCGTACCTCCTGCAAATAACTGCTCTGCCACCGTGTCACAAGGAAAGGACCTTGAAGGGCTGAGGGAAGAGACGCCGTCTCACTAAGTGGCTCTAGAAGGAGCAGCTTCTTCAGATTCCCTTCCTCTTGCCACCCACTCTGCAGTCCCACACGGCCCTGGCCTGCCCCCTCGTCCCCTCTGCTCCTGCGTTTCCTTCTCCTCATGGCACCCTGGCTTGCCGTCCGCCCCTGGCTCAGGGCTGGTTCTGCCCTCCTGACACTGCCTCCCAGGACAAATGGCTTGATTCTGAGTGGTCAGCAGATGAGTTCTTCTCATCCAAAGAGGCAGACTAGTTCTCCACGGGTACCTCTGTCTCTGCATCCCCTGCCCTTTCACGGGGAAACCTCTCCTCCTGTCTCTGCTCACTGAAATCCCTACTTGAGGCCCGACGCGGGCTGTGTGAAGTGCCTTCGTGTTGTTAACTTCCTCTGCTAGACAGGAGATACACAGCCCCCTGCAGACTGGTCTTCCAACACACCCCACCGTCCCTTTGTTGAGGCTTTGTTTATATTAACGGAATTTCCCCAGGTATCAATCATGGCCCTTGCTCTTGAGAGCAAGGAGCAGCGCAGTCCTTCGTCCCCCTATGTCAGGGACATGGCCTTGGAGAATTCCTTACGACATATTGGTCTCAGCTTTCCCGTCTGTGAAGTCCTCTTTGTGGATTTGGATCCTTGGCCCTTTCTAAGATTCATATATTCAAATTCAATGTGAAGAGAAGTTCTAATATTGCCAAGTGCACAGGAAACCAATAAAAATGTGAAACATTTGGAATTATACTCGGTTAATCAATGAGTATTTATTGAGTGACTACTGTGTGCACAAAATCTTGCCAGAAGAAACGAATTCCAAAACTCCCTTATGTGTCATAGCTGATTTTACTGAGGTTTTTGATCTTTTTAAAAACTTCCCCATATGTCTTCCATTTCTGCAGCTATTTTTATAGTGATAATACTTTAAATAAAAGCTGTTTAGAGAAAAAAAATGCATCCATCCACACGATGTAACCTGTGTTATTAGATCTGGAGGTTGTTGGAAGGTAGGTGGGTGTGGAAAGCCTGGATAAGTCTGCCAGGCAGAGTCCACTTCCCGGGCCCATCTGTGTGGTCTCGTAGGTGCCTCACAAGGAACCCACGCATAATTCAATGCCCTGACGTTGTTGACTGTGAAGTTCTTACCAATTGGGGTACAGAGGCTCCTAGTTTTACCAGGCCTCCCAAAGGGTCTGTTTTTTTTCCCCCAAATCTCCATCCCCGATGACATTGAAGGTGAGGCCTTGGGAGGTGAGGAAGGAGCACTGAGACTGAGCCTTGCCCCATCTCAATCGCCCCTTTCACCACGAGGACCAGTGAGAAGGTGTCCTCGGCAGACGCTGACCCTGGGCTTGCAGCTCCAGGACCACAAGAAGGGCATTCTGTCTTTAGGGCCCTTTGGTTCATGGCACTTTGCTGCTCAGTCTGAAGCGGCCAGGACGGCCCCACAGCTCACGTGGCCACTCACATCCTTAATGCTTCTGACTCGCCCTCCTTCCCCGCTGAGGAAGAGGTCACTGTGAGCTGGGTCTCAGATCCTGAGACAAGAGCCTGTGCCAGCAATTCATGAAGGGCATGTTCCAGGGGAGCAGAGGAGGGTGGCCAACAGGTCAGAAGCAAAGCCAGGGAGTGATTCAGGCCAAGCCCAAGGGGTGATGTCAGCTGGCCCACGGGGTGGGGTAGGTGGGTTAGGGGGAGCTGCCGCACAGGGACCAGAGGTCAGGTGGTCAGGCTTCCCACTGTGCTGACCCCTGGGCCAGGTGTTGGGAGAGGAGAGGTGAACCCCCAGCTCTGCACAGACAGACCTGCTAGCTAGCAAGCACAGTGGTCTCCGTGCTGGTGCCCAGCTCTGGAGGCCAAAGCACCTGGCAGCTGGAGCCGTGAAGTGGACCACGAGGATGTGGGCCGTGCTGCCTATTCATCACCAAGGTCAGTCACACTGAAACCTGTGAACCCTGCTATGGTTCCTAAGAACCTCAAGGCTTCTAGTGCAGCGTCTCCCGAAGCTTCAAGTAATGATCTTGTGAGACAGGTGCAGGTGTGTGTGGACTGCATCCCCTTGTCGTCTCATGGTGTCCATGCTGAAGAACGGGCAGAGGTGTGGCAAAGGGCAGTGAAGGTATGTGGCAGAGCACGTTTTCCTGAGACCCTTGCTATGAGCAGAATTCCAGCACTGGGCATGAAGGTGCCAGGGGTGGACCATGCGGCCCTCACTGTCAAAACTGCACCGTGTTCAGCAGGTACCTCTGTTCACAGGTGCTCTCACCAGCATGCCAAGACCTTGGGAGGAGCACAAGGTGCATCTGCATCAGGGAGAAGTTCTTCTACCTTAGGGTGATTTCATGGGTTAGCTGAAGACCAGGAATGATGGGTGTGCAGAGTAGGGCACACCAGTAGGCAAAATAGAGACTTTCAGTTAATTTTCTGCAAACTTCATTGAATGGGGAGAAGCCATTCAATGAAAAGGGAAGAAGTGAGTGGCCTCTGGGCTCAGACTCTAGGTGTGGCAGCCAACACAAGCAAAGAAATTTCAGAGCAGGAGACCTGCAGACAGAGACATTTGCCAAAAACGTCTCAAATCAGGGCCTCAGTGAATAGACCACCTTCAAATATGTGCAAGCAGCCAGTGTGGCTGTGAGGCGGGAGACGGGAACAGGGAGAGGACACTGTGAGTCGCGGCAAGGACTCAGTGGCCTTGTCTTGCCTGTGGTGGGAAGCTCCGGAGAGTTGTGACAGCAAGGTCCCATGCCACATCTGCGTTTCAGAAGTGTTGCTCTTGCACATCTACCTTGGAGACACCCTGAGCTCCTCTGGGTTGACCCTTCCTCTGAGGTCACCGCGGTCAGTCTCCGTCTCTACCGTGTCGAGAGTCTCAGTGTCCAGGTGGAAGGAGCACGGCCAGGAGGGTCCCTGAGGAGGCTTTCTGAAGCCGGGGAGACCGCCCATTTCTTGGTGTACTTCTGGGAATGTCCGGGGACATTTCTGATAATCAGGATTTTATGATTGCACTGGAATCTCAGAGACCAGAGAGGGGGCTAATATCCTGCAGTGCACCACAGGCCCAAAGGAAGAAGCCTCTCATCAACAGTGGCAAAGAGTATCAGGGCTGAAGATTCAATGATTTCTCTTTTCTAATATCATTCTCACTTATTAGGATTTAGATATAGACATTAGGATTCAGATATCAATATCTGAATAAGTGAGAATACCATAGAGATACAGATTTTTGGGGGGGGCTGGGGATGTGGCTCAAGAGGTGGCGCGCGCTCGCCTGGCATGCGTGCGGCCCGGGTTCGATCCTCAGCACCACATACCAACAAGGATGTTGTGTCCGCCGAGAACTAAAAAATAAATATTAAAAAAAATTCTCTCTCTCTATCACTCTCTCTCCTCTCTCACTCTCTCTTTAAAAAAAAAAAAAAAAGAGATACAGATTTTTTTTCTCTAATGGAAATAAAACCATGGTTGACTTTAACAGGGCAGGAGTTGAGCAAGGGAAGGTAGCCACCTTATGAACATTCTTTTCTGTGAAAACTATCATTTTTATATTAATTTTTTGTCTTTTTCCTCATGCTGATTACAAAAGGTGTTTATCTCTATGATCCAAAACCAGAGTTATTGAGCAGTGCTGTGCTTGAGCTCTGGGACTGCACATGTGAACACAACTGAACTTCAAGTTCACAAGGGAAACAGAGACCTCTGAATCCCTGGTAACTGGAGCAGCGCTCAGGGAAGCGGTGGGGGTGTCAGTTGGGAAGTTCACAGGCGACATGGCTTGGCTTGGACCAGAGAGGTTTTATGGCTGAAGGGGAAACGGAACTGCGACCTGAAGCTCTTCTAGGATTTCAACAAGGTGAAGTAGGGGAGAAGATGTCAGTTGGTGACACACCCCAGCCAAAGGTTCAAGGATGGGGGATGTGTGGACGCAGTCCCTTGGCTGACTGAGACATCTTGGAGATAGTCCTGGAACAACCCGAGCGCCTGATAGGACAGGCCAGGGGCCCCCGCATCCCACGTTTCAAAAATCCTCAGTGACTTTGTCAGTGCCCTGCTCTGCCACTCTCCTGTGCTGCATGCCTTTTGTAGCCAGCAGAACATCTGACCTTGGTTACTCACCCGACCTCACCACGGCAGAAGCAGAGAACTGTGCTTTCCTCCAGCGAGCAGGAGGGGAGTGGCTGATCCGAGGTGCCAGAGGCACTCACAGGCCAGCCCTGCTCTTTCCTGGCACTGCTGCTGGTCATGGCAAGGGGTGTCGGCAAAAGCCCAGGAGACGGCTTCATTCACATGGTGGACAGCCCCTCGGACAAGTCACCCGACGCTCCATGTAACAGGAATCCCAGGGAGCCTTTCCCTCTTCTCAGTCCCCCAATTCAAAGTTAAATGGACCCACTGAGGACTCATATCTTAGGTTTGTTATCTAAATGGCTCAGCACTTTCCCAACCTGGTGATTCTGATTTTATTTTTCATGGTCTTGGCTTTCTTTGGTTTTCTTTTCTTTTCTTTCCTTTTTTTTTCTAGATTTGGTTGAAATCTAATGTCAATTCTTTTATGTGAATAACCTTAAAGGGTTCTAAAATTTTTCTTGAGTGACTATTATATCTTTACTTCTGTGATTTAAAAATCACCAACACAATTCAAAGTTAAATAAGTTTAAAAAAAGCTTTGAGAAGTCAGTCATCTTCTAAGACAAAGTAATGAAAATTCAGGGAATCTGTCATGATCTGTCACATGTGATAAGAATACAAAACATGTTACTTTCAGCTCAGGTCATCAGATAAACAATCAACAAGAATATTCAGCAGCAGAAACCAATATTCAGAAATGATGTTCAGTATAAAAGAGATCAGGAGATCCAAAGATATCTCCTATCACCATCTAGTCTCATCAAACAAGACCTTTGTCTATAAATAATATTTTCAGTATGTGCTAGAGTTTGGAAAGGACGTTCACATACTTGTTATGTGTAATTCCTTCAATATCCTCTTGGTTGTCATTGCCAGACTTGCTTTTCTGGTGGGGAAATTGGAGATCATATTAGTTAAATAACTTGTTCCACTGGATCATATTTCCTCTCCTTTTAACATCTCTGAGGAAAGTACTCATGTCACAGTTGAGGTATTGGCAATTTGTGCCTGGGTGTCTTGGCAACATATTTCACATCAATTATACACATGTATCTTATGATAAATGACCTATTTGAGTTAATGAAATTTGGTAAACTTAAATGCATCTCTAACTTCAAATTGTATAAAATCATTTCTATGAAACTCTGTGGTCTCACTTAAGAATACTTTACTATACACAAATAACCCAAAGACACATACAAAAAACCCCCACAGTTTGAGTGCTATGGATTTTGAGTCAGAACTATCATGCACACATTCAACATATATAAATGTTAGGCACTAAGCTTTTCAGTAATATAAAATATTCTATTTTATTTTTATTTGCATTATCTATATTTTCTAAATCTAATCTAAGTACTTAAACATTTACCAAGAGCATATTTGCATATTTTGTATTGACCATATTGCTAGCTATAATGGGATCTACACAACTATGTAAAAATTTAAATTATGCCCTTATGAGACAAGGTAAAGGTGAATACAATCTTAACCACTCCCTGCTACCTATGAGGCACCAAGCTATAACCTTTTATATACTGTATCTCTATTCGCATTTCATAGATAACAATAAAATCATTTTCCCATGGTACAATAAAGGAAAATCATTGAACTGGAAT